CAGAACAGAAGTTCAGTGTACATAAACCAGTTTCAAAATGGCTAAAACTAGCTTAAGATAAACCTGATTGAATGTAGTATCAAACTTAACTAAATTAGGTCAAACCAGTTTATGAAACTTCTGTCCCAGACCCCTTCCTGGTTCAAGTTAAATCAGAGTCCCCCAGCATCCCAGCATGCTTTTCAGCCCTAGGCTGGGCAGTGCTGTCTGCGCCAGAGAGCAGAGCTGGCCCTGCCCCTCTGCTCCCTACCTGGAACAGTGAGGGCTGGCTTACTGGCTAGTTCATTGCCCCCCCAAAAGGCAAACGCCGGCTGGAGGCTGGGGCCAGGGAGAGGGGTTAAATTCACCTTCCCCTGAGTACAGAGCTGCCTTGCCCTGCTATCTTACTTAGTGGTGGCTGCAACTGTGGACTACAAATCCCAGAGGCACCTGGAAACAGGAAGACGAAGTGATGAGCAACCCTGCAGAGTCCTACTGCTGTGAATGTGGACTACAAATCCCAGAGACCTCAGGGACAGCAGGAAGAGGAAGCAAACACACAGCCCATGCTGCCTATGTGCCAGAGAGCCATGCTCTAGCACTCTCCTCCCCCCCACCTCCAAGCTTCTGGCTTGAGCTGCTGAAAGCATGTACCTGCAGTTCCTGAATCACAAGTGAACGTCTGTTCATTTGCTTATTGGTTCAGTCTTTCCAGCTTAGACTAACCTGCAAAGACTAAATCTATTCAGCCTAGTTGTATGACAGTTTTGAACTGGTTTCCATCACTTATACCAGTTTACAAGTAATTTATGTCCCTAGAAGTGAGAGTGGTCAAGCATTGAAACAGGCTACCTAGAGAAGTTGTAGAATCTCTGTCGTTGGAAATTTTCAAAAATAGGTTGAACAGACACTAGTTGACTGGTTTAGTCAGGAATGCTCCTGTCTTGAGCAGGGATTTAGACTAGATGGCATTGTGAGGTTCTTTCTAGACTTACTTTCCTATGAACCTTTTTGGAACTTCTTTTAGGATTAATATAAAAGGATGATCCTGGAAGTGACAGATGATAAGATGAAGTATTAATGTTGAAGCTCTCTTTCTAGAAAGATCATTTCTGTTTCAACCTCTAATTTTGTCTTGGAAGGTTGTAAAATTCGGCTAAGTTCCTTTGCTGTAATGTATATTTTCTTTTTCGCTAGTAGATTTATAATCATGGGCGACTGGTGCCTCCTGAGTTGGGGAAGGCACTTGCCCCTCCAGTGGCTAGTCAGTGATGTGGGGGGGGGGGGTTCCCCACAGCTGATTGCACCGACTGGGGGTAGGGAATGGCCAAAGCAGTGGGGGGAGTGGACTCAGCCCCAAAGCGGGGGTAGGGCCACTGCGGCGAGGTGGAGCAACAGTGTTGGGCCCACAGTGGAGTTGGGGGGAAGGAGGGGGAGCGGCCCCAGCCCTGGCCCCAAACCCAAACTGCCAGGGGGGACAGGAGCAGGCCTGAAGGGGGCAGGACCAGACTAGCACAAGGTGGGGAACGGGGTTGCAGGGCTGAACACTGGGCTCTGTCCCTGCCACCCCGCCTGTCATTTTTGCCAGGCAGTTTGCTAGTTCTCCCATATCATTCAAACGTATCTTTGCAGCATTTGCCTCATCCAACTATCGGCTTGAATAGGCATTCATAAGTGCAACATTTTAAAGCAAAGTGATAATAAACTAGCAATACATTTTTATTAATAAACTTCCTTGAGTTTTTATTCAATTGTAAAAATATTAGAAGAATAAATTATATGGTTTTCTTACTTTAAACCAAAAAAATATTGTTAAAGGACTTTTCTAAAAAACATTTATCTTTTACTCACACTTCTAAAGTCAGGATTTAATCATTTTTGTTTGTGGTAAATTTAATAATAAACCCATTTAATTAAAGAAGCGAAATAGTAATACTGATAGACCATAAACTCCAGTGTCTCCTGAGGATACTTCTAAGATGTTACTTTCTGTAAGTGAAAACCAATAACAGTTCCATTGTATCTATGAATCATAATTTGGTTCTTGCCCTGTCCTTAGGGTAGTGTGGCTATTCAGGCTGGATATAATCTCATAAACATTAGTCCTCATAACTGGGTTATTCATGTTTGTCCAGTATGAGGTTCTAAGGTACACAAGACAATTGTTTCAGAATCTAACAAGAAAAATATTTCTTAAAGGATATAAAGAAGAAAATATAAGGTAAAAAATCATTAAAATTCCATGTCTCTCTTACAAATAGCACCTTAAATTATTAAAGTTGAAAGAATTTTTCAACAATAATTCTTATAGTTTCATAGTTTCTAGGGTCGGAAGGGACCTGAGAAGATCATCTAGTCCGACCCCCTGCCATGGCAGGAAAGAGTACTGGGGTCAAACGACCCCAGCAAGGTGTTTATCTAACCTCTTCTTAAAAACCCCCAGGGTAGGAGCCTGCACCACCTCCCTTGGAAGTTGGTTCCAGACCCTAGCCGCCCTGACCGTGAAATAGCGCCTTCTGATGTCTAACCTAAATCTACCCTCTGCTAGCTTGTGACAGTTGTTCCTGGTCACTCCTGGTTGTGCTTGGGGGAACAGTGACTCCCCCAATGCCTTCTGATCCCCCCTGACCAGTTTGTAACAGGCCACAAGATCCC